AATTGGCTGTCGACAAGTGTCGAAGCTCTCTTGAGGTTGATGATGTTGCTGCTGCTGTTGTTGTTGTTCTTGTTGTTGTTGTTGATAAAACGCAGCCTGATATTCCGCCGAATAATTCGCGTAGTAACTATGCGGATCGTACATCCCGTTGTAACCATAGTAATCCGCTTGTTGTTGATGCTGCTGTTGCTGTTGTTGTTGTTGATGTTGTTGCTGGGGATTGTAGAATTGGTTCGGATTGTTAGTCCAATAATTCTGCTGCGAAACACTGCTCATTTTCACTTTTTTTTTCTTTTCCGCACAACTTTCGCACTCGTCAAAAATCTGTCTCTCGTCCGGCTGTCCGGCTCGGCACGTTCTGATAAATGTTAAATATTGTCAACTATTGCAACCCCGAAAAACTAGGGGTGTCGGTGGGGGGTGCTCGCTGCACCCCACGAATATAATGCACAACCTTTTTTTTTTCTTCTCTCCATTCACTACAGCTGCCCTTTTCATGCATTTTCCACCCCCACCCATTTATTGGCCGCACGGCCATCAGACTTTCGCAGAATCGCTGCCTCTAAGACCAATTTCCATTGAAACTGATGCTTAATGATTATTGCACCCCTTAGACTAATTGACTTATATCCATATAAACACTACCCAGAACACTTACAATTATAATTCAGTTAATTTTATTCTCCACTGGTTGTTACGCAATTACCCACAACAGGACATAAAGATCTTAGCTAATTTATCAGGTTATTCTTAAACAAAAATGGATTAGAACATCATTTTTACTAATACTAAATTAATATTTCAACTTTAATTAATAATAATTTATTTAGTGAATATTTATAAATATTTTACTTCAATATCATTTAATTCATAAGTAAATCGCCGATTATCCGGGTCTCAATTAACGCCGTCTTAGTATTTACTTATTTTATATGTTAAACAATAAAATTGTCTTTGCAAATCTGCGGTTTAGTAAATAATTTTACAAGGAAAACAATAAAAAAATAGAGATTAATACATAGGCATGAAGTTTTTAAAGTAAATAAAAGTGATGTTCGTATTAACCGTGTTTTTCAATTATCCGTGCTTTTGACGTTCCTGAATTACCTCCGGATAATCGGCGTTTTACTGTGTTACCAAAACACACAAGTTTTGATATTACATATATAAAGTACAAAGAAATATGTTTGCTTATAAATAATTATAATATTTTTAATATAAAAAAAACAACTTAAATCTAAGTATTGGACAAACTAAAGAAAATTGTTGAAATTGAGCGAAAATACACTTAAATATGTTTTTATTTGTAACAATTACAATAAAACCTTCAATATTTTCATAAATTCTTACAAATAACAAATAACTTTATAATTTATTACATAAAGTTTTGGATAAAATTAAAGAATCTTTCTTTTTAAACCATTTGTATTTTAATTTGGAACGAGAATATACGTTTGTTAATATTTTAAGTACTAGCACTAACTGTCGGTTAATTTTAACTCTTACTGCTTTTCATAACTTCCATCATTGAGTTATTATTTATGGATAATCTAAAAGAAAATGTTTATCAAATAATTTTAAAACGGCATTTTTTGCTGAAAAAACTAAAGTTATGTAAGAAATTGATTATTTTGGTATTGACTAATTATTAATTAAAAATATACAATTACCAATAACTAAAACGTACTGTTTTATGTAATATCAATCTAACGTCAATAGTTATGAAAATTTGCAAATATTGTTGTACAATTATTTTATTTATGTTAGTCTTATATATTTAGTGTATATATTTCAAGAAAATTTCTTTTCAAGATAAAACATACATAAATGCACAAAACTTTAGTAATGTTCATTAAATTTCAATGTATAAAATACAATAAATAATAGGACATTTATTCATGCAAGATTTTTTTTTTATTTATGTCTTGAATTATGATTATTTCATATTTAGTGTTTTTATTTACTTCTAATTTATATAAATTTGCTTTGATCTTACTTCCTTAGGCTATTTAAGGAAGTTTATTGCTACAGATTTTTTTGTGAATACGTTAGGTTTTATTTCTGTTTTAATTCTACAACTAGAATAAAGTTTCAGAAAATTTTGTTGTTAAATAACATATTTATAGCATAAAATATTTTGAAATAAATTACTATAATTTCTCTATTTAAAAAAGGTGCGTTTTATGTTAAAAAAAATAAATAGGTAATTTTACTCAGAATGATTTAATGATCACTTTGTGCTTTCTAATGAACGCAATCAATTCAAAAGTACGTTTTTTTAAAGTGGATTCAATCATTTTAAATGTAGATATTTATAAAATTAATATAAACGAGGGTTGAAATTACATTTAGGGCTTTTTGATAATCCATTTGGGAGCGATGCAAAAATTGAAAAAGCCAGGTGCGTGGAGTGCGCGATCGCGCACGCGCTCCACCACCTCATGTATCCTCATCATCCAACATTACGTAACGGATTGATGGCATTAAAATTGCTTTAATTGCAGATTTCCATCGGGTGGATGGATGGAAGGAAGGAAGATGATTGCTCGTTATCCTTCTGATGTAGCGACGAAGTTTGTCCGCGGGCTGAGGATGTGCACCTGGGGGCACTTCAGCTCCTACGATCCGTGGGAAGTGCGACGTCTCAAGGATGTAATAACAATGTGACAGCTCCCAGGAGGGTCGAGCTCGTCTCTTATCTGCGCCTCACGAATTGAACTGAACGTCTTCCTCGTCGCCACCTCTTGAATTATGAATTAATGTCGCTTAATTTTCGCGCAAAACGACCTGTCGATCCCAAAGCTACGATAAAGTCGGCAGAAGCTGGATGGATCATCCATTTACCATCGTTTCTTCATCTCATCTCAAAGGAAGCTGAGACTGACTGCATTGTTTCTTACTTCCTAATCGGAGACACATCAGGCCCCCAGCTGCACAACCTCAATACCAGATAACATATTAAATAAAACCTCACTCATCTCTCTCTCTTTCTCTTATACTTTCTCCCTTCTGTTGGCCGCACGCACCATTTAACAAAAATTTCATTGCGATCCCTATCGTAATTACCGCAACCGAGCACTCATCAACAATCGGGAATCATCCCCAATAATATTCATTCATTTATCATAAGCTGTCATCAATATTTCCGTAGAAACTATACCAAATGTTCATCATCATCAACCACCTCATGCTATTACAGTTTTATTCAAGGAAAACACTTCTGGATCATTAAATAATAATATTTGACCTAATATAATCAAATATAAATAACATTAATCGAAGTTGCTTTCAACTAAAATTGATTGTATACATAAAAATATTAGTTCAAAATCATAAAAAAAACTTACAGTATTTTAAATCTAATAAAATAATTATGAAATAAATGATAACCGTTTCACTTAGTAGTGAAATAATTTCAAAAATAAGCAATTTTCATGTTCTCTGTAACAATATAATAATATTAAAAGTATATAGTTATGTTATGAATGAATTTGATTAAAAGTAGGATAAATGTGACATTTAAACTACACAGTAAAATAAATGATGTCTTAATGTTTAATCACAAAAGTGGTGTTGGGAAAGTTTACAAGAATAATTGAAAGCATCTGCGAGCTTATTGTACGCTCTCACATATAGAGAAACCTATAAGATTTAACCTGCAGATAAAAATGTAAACGGTAATTCTATACTGCATAGAGCGGTCCACGTACAACGAAACTGATACCGAGATTATTACGTCAAAAGGCCGATATTCTTGCCTTATTCACCTTTTCGGTCTCACAACAACAACAAAAACGAGAATTGACTTTCCGACTGGCGGAGGCGTCTTTATGGATCGGCCTTATTGTACGTAAGCGTGCATAACAGGATCAGGTAGAGTACAGTTTTTCGGTACAACTGTAACGCACAAAAAAATGCGGAGCTGAAAGGAAAAAAAAATGGTTATATAGGTCAGAGCGTTCCGGGAAAAGACGGTACCGAAATTTCTGGACACGCTTTGACTGCAATAAAAACGTTTTTACTTTCCGTTCTTGTCTGGAAGGGGTCCCACGCGAACAAATTTTAAAAGAAGTATTGGTTTTACGACCGAAGATGCTGTAAATATTTACAGCAGATTTGTCTCGGCCAAATTATACATTGAAATGTACGTAAATAGAACTGATGGACGCTTTTAAGCGTGCCGGTAGCAATAAAACAATCTTGTCTCGTCTTGTTTTTTTTTTTTTGTATAAGATAAGTTTCTGAAAATTCCTTTCGATTTCTTCCTGCGATTTAACGCACACTTTTGGCTACAATGCAACGAATTTCACACACCAATGTGTGCCTCCTCGCTGCAGTTTCCGTTCATTTTTGGGGTGCATCCGTGGGGTTGCAATTTTTTTTCCCTCCCCCCTTGTGCACACACAGACATATACTGACAATGAACGTGGACAATGGAACTGCGTGTGTGCGTCGCATATAATGAGATCCAGTGGCCGATAAAGCCAAGCGAGAACCAATCATTGGATCGGAGCCTCTATTGTCAGGAACGTTCAACTGTTTCCGATATTGCAAGGGTGCCTTTGACTGATTAAAAAAATTGTATATCTGTAACTCTCTGTGTGTGTGTATTTGTATATATATTAAATCCTACCCACGAGGCTGAAAATCCTAGAAATTGAATTACACATTGAATGAATGCGATGTTCCTCGGGTTTTCACACTTGGTCCTATCAATAATCAAAACTAAATTTCTACCTACGATACAGGATTTTGTAATATAATAGACTCTCATATAACACGATTTTTCCCAACGCGAATTCCAACAACGCTATAATAATATTAGGACGTTTATTTTAGTCACATGTTATTTATATTCTAAGGAAAATTCTCGTTTAACACGCGATTTCATAAAACGCGTAACGCATTAACCGCGTTATACGGGAGTCTTATGTAGTTTTATTTTTATTTACACGTTTTTATTACCTATAATTTGGACTATCGACCTAAGTTTAAAGTAAAGTTCCAAGTAATTGGAAGTACACCTATCACCCGATTTACACGCTAGATAGTTTCGTGAGAATAGCGTGTAAATCGATATTGTAAGTTTTTTAATGTAAAAACGTGTAAATCGAAAAGCATGCAACAAAATGTATCATGTTCAAGAATTTTAAACCGTGTAAAATGAGGAAAAGTTATTTTATGATGTAAATACGCTGTTAACACGCCATTTCATAAAACTCGTAACGTATTAACCGCGTTATACGGGAGTCTTATGTAGTTCTATTTTTATTTAC